CAGAGAATGTTGAAATAGAAGGGACTTTTGTATCTTATAGAAAGCCTCCAAAGTTTACTTTGCCAAAGCTTAAAGAGATCATGGGATCTTTCTAAGATAAAAGATAGGGCTAGATCTCAAATCCATGATGTCTGTCTTGGGGCCTGGGCACTCTATTCAATGCTAGAGAGAGAGAGATGGAGAGAGGGAGAGAGGGAGAGAGGGAGAGAGGGAGGGAGGGAGAGAGAGAGAAGGAAATATTTTGCTCAAAGCAGTGACTTGTGGGGTAGGAAGAAGGGAAGAGGGTAAGGCTGGGCAGCTGGTCACCTCATGGTGTTTTGAAATGAAAAGTGAGTCAAAGAATAAAACTATGGCTCTCAAGTGTGGAAGAATTTTAGGGCCAAAAGGTAACTCAAGTGACTCCAAAAACTATAGGGCAGGGAACCTCAGGAAACACGAGTGCCTGGTAGATACAGTGGACAGCTGGCAAGGTGAGGAGGCTCTGCTTCCTCTCCTCAGCCAGATGAGGACCGGAAGGCTCCATCCTGGTGACCCTCACAGTCAAAGCACCGGGCACCATTCCCAACCTGGTGGACTGGGATGAGCAGAACACAGTGGTGGCCCAAGGGGAGGTGGCCATGGAGAAGGCTGGAGGAGAAACCCTGGCTCCAAATAAGTCTCCCTCCCTTCCTCCTCAGTCCAGATGGTGACTTTTGTCAGCCAGAATCAGGTTTACCCACTTTACCCAGGAAGGATGAGGACCCAACCTCACGTACTTGGCTTCGTGTAGTAGCACTGTAAACTCTTAAAACGACAGAAGAGAAGGAAGAAGAACAAACTTGGGTTTATCAAGAGATCTGGGGGCAGGCTGGGCTGAGCAGGAGGTGAGGAGGGATGTGGGAAAGCAGGACACCCTGGTGGGGTGAGGAGTGGGGGCAAGGCAAGGGGGGGTCTGTGGCTTCTTCTAAATGTTCACAGGAGGCTGGGTAGAAGGCTATAGGCTCTCGCCACACACCTAGGCTCTCCCGATGGGTGGGGCTGGGGTGCTTGTCCCGCTGTCGCATTGTCTCCAGGCCCAAAAGGTCAGGTGGGTGGCAGTGGCCACGCATCACTGTCACTTGCCGGCCCTGGGTGATGGCACGGCTGCGGCAGCCCATGCGTGCCTGGTCTCGGCAGGTCCAGTACACCTTGTCACCAGCTGCCTTCTCCCGCCTGTACAGGAAGGACTCGTACACCAGGAAGCTGCCCCCTAGTGGGGTCCGAAGAAACTCAGGGCCTCCTGGGGGGTGTAGGAGAGGCAATTAGGGAGGGGCGACCCGGCAGGCAGGGTCCCCCACCCCCCTCAAGCAGGACCTGAGGCAAGGATGAGGGCTCACCCGGATCAGTATCCTGGTCCTCTTCAGGGGATCCCTGTGGGGCTTCGGTCTGGGTAGAGAGCTCCTGACCTTTGACCTTTGCTTTCTTTCTGAGCCGGGACCCGGCGAGAGTAGGGGCACCCAGCCCCTGGTGACTGTCCATGCTTTGGTGCCGCTTGTCCCTGCAGCCCCCGAGGCCAAGTGGCCTGGCCTGAAGTGTCCGAATGGCCTTCTCCTGCTGCCGCCGCCGCACCTGCAAGCTCTCCATGTCAGGTGGGTGGCAGTGGCTACGCATCACCGTCACCAGATGGCCCTGGGAGATGGCGCGGCTGCGGCAGCCATGCAGTGTGTGGTCCCGGCACGTCCAGTACACCTTGTCGCCCACAGCCTTCTCCCGCTTGTAGATGAAGGACTGGTGAACGAGGAAGGTGCCCCCGTAGCATGTGTTCAGGAACTCCAGGCCTGGAGGCAGGCCTGCAGGGAGCAATCAGGGTGGTCAGGACCCAGGAGCAGGGCAGGAGTGGCCTATGGCAGAGCTGGAGACCAGCCTGTGCTTCTTTTCTGTGCAGCTGCCTCTCACCGACGTGCTCTCCTGCCCTCACCATCCAGGTACCCAGGGAGGAGCAGACTCCTCTTCCAGGGGCAGGGAGAGCTCAAGGGGTTAAACACCATGCCCAAGGTAACACCAGGAGAGCCCGGGGAGCCCGGAGAGCCGAGCTGGCAGCCCAAGTTTCGTTATTTTCGACCATATTTTTTTTATACTTTGTTTAAAATTTTTATCCAAGTTTTGAATAACACACACCTAAGCTATAAAACTCAAATGGAACTAAAGGATCTGGAGTGAAAAAGCAAAAAAGGCTCTCCTGCCCCACCCCTTTCCTGAGCCCAGCATTCTTTGATGTTTAAATCCAAATCCCAGCTGGATGAAGAGCAGTGTCCCATAGGCTTAATGATTATCAGGATACCTTTATGTTCTTCAAAGTTATTATGACCTTGAGCACACTTTTTTTGTGTTTTGTTTTTTTGAGACAGTCTCCTTATGTAGTTCAGGCTGGCCTTGAACTCACTATGTAGTCCAGACTGGCCTCAAACTATCGGCAACCCTCCTATCTCAGCCTCCCCAGTGCTGGGATAACAGGCGTGCATCACCACACCCAGTTTGTGCACATTTTTCCCTGAGCACAATTTTTTTTCTGTTACAGGGGAATGAACCCAGGGTTTTCACACTAAGCTACATCCCCAGCCCTTTTTAAATTTATTTCTTACTTTTGAGATAGGGTCTCACTAAGTCACTAAGTTGTCCAGGCTGGGCTTGAACTTGCAAATCATCCTGCCTCAGCCTCACAGAGTGCTAGCATTACAGGTGCACACCACCATGCCCAGCTTCCCTGTGCACATTTTAAAACAAGATGTGGAACCCTACCTTTGTTATTTGACATGAATAAACCTGTGGGTTCCCAGTGGCCCAGGGAGACAGGTGTGGCATGTACTCACCCATGCGCAGCATCTGGCGTTTCTTGGGTGGCAAGCTCAGCACGGACACGGTTTGAGGGTCCTCTAGGACTGGCTTGCTCTGCTGGCGGGTGGGCTCCTCAGGGTACAACCATGGATCCACTCCCCTAAGCAGCTCCTCCACCGGACCCTGGGGATCCCTCAAGCTGTCTGGCAAGGCTGAGCTAGGCAGCTTCTCTTTCTGGCGCCGGGCCTCTAGGCCCTCCTCGTCGGGTGGGTGGCAATGGTCCCGCATCACTGTAGCCTTTGAGCCACGGGTGATGGCCCGGCCTCGGCAGCCCAGCTCAGCATGCTGGCGGCACTTCCAGTACACCTTGTCCCCCACAGCCTTCTCCTGCTTGTACAGGAAAGATTCAAGGACAAGGAGGCGGCCCCCAAATGGGGTCCTTAGGAACTCCAGGGGCTGGGAGACTGTGGAGGCAAAGAGAAAGCTGGGTTAGATGCCTGGGTTAAAGCCAGTGAGGGTCACGGGTCCCAGTGATTCCTGGTTGCCAGGCAAGAAGCCCAGACTTGAGACTGGTTTTATGGGGAGGAGGGATGTTTTAAGGAGTTGGACATCACTGGACATCACTGCAATTCCCATGAGCTCTGGGAGGATGTGATGCCTAGCAGGGAGGTGCTATACTATGCAGGGATGACATGAGGTGATGAGCACTTTGGTCTGGGGCTAGGTGGAGATTAGAGACCACGAGCCTTCTCTGCAAGCAGGGATGGCACACCAAGGTCACCCTGCTAGACAAGGGGTGCAGAGGCCCACATCTCAGTATGCAGGCCCATCAAGGGGGTGGGCCCAGGCGGCAGCCTAGATGCCTCACCTTGCTCCACCTTGCTGCGCTTCAGCCCTGAGGACCACAGGCATGGCTGAACTGCCTGTACCTGCTCCTCGGCTGGCAGGATCTGGAGGGTGCTGGCCAGGGTGGAGGGGTCAACCATCTCCAGGGAGATGACACAGTGTACTTCGGTGGGATCAGAGTCCACCTCAAGCCCCTGTTGGTCTGAGGTTGTCAGCAGGACCAGATTGGAGAACTCCTGGGGTTCACTGGGGTCTGCCGGGACGACATCCATGCTGGTCTCTGGGGAGGGCTCTTGGGCAGCCTTCATGCTCTCGCCCTCCTGCTCACTGGGCTCGGGCAGGGGCATCCCAGGACTGTTGGCCTGATCCTCAGCTCACGCTCAGCCCTGGTAGATGCATTCTTCCTCCCTCCTGGCCTGGTATCTGCCAGTCTGGGCTCTGTCCTAAGGGAGGAGGCAAAACCTCAGTTAGTGGAGAAGCCCTTGAGCCTGGGGCTTAGAAATGGACCTGGTATCTCCATCCTTGGGCCAGATGGGCCACCTCAGTGTCCTTGAGGCTGTGAGGCTGGGAAGGGACCTGACAGAATCCTTGAGCTGATGCTTCTGCTCTGCTGTTCCTCTCCCAGGGCCTTGGGGATATCACTTCCCCATCCAGGCCTTACACCTTTCCCATTCCCCATAAATGCCCCTCCCCAGGGGCTGGCAGGTGACAATGCACTAGTAACTGACCTCCTACCTATGGAGCCTCCTCTGAGCCCAACACAGAGGTGGTGTCCTCATCCATTCTTCCCCTTTGTTCTTAAGGATCCACTTTGCTGATGAGGACATGGAGGTATATAAACCCTGTATGTTTGAACCCCACTGTTTCTGCTCAGACCCCCAGGGATTTGCCTGGGCCCTGTACACTTTACCTGGATGCTATGCACAAAGTCAGTCCTTACCCTAGTCTGGAGGCCCCAGGCCTACCCAGCCCTTGGGAGACAACAGAGCCCAGCAATGAAGCGGTCTTGGGCCTGAGCTGTTGCTGGCGCAACCTCAGCTAGGCAAGGACAGGGCTGTGATTGTGTTGGAGGACCCCTCAAGGTCCAGCTCTCAAGCTTCCGACCTCGGAAAGGTGGGAGCCCAGAGCTGGGCTGGCCTGTAGACAGGCCTTGTGGGGCCCCTACAAGTCACCAATGGTTGGCCTTTCTGGGGTGACTGGCTGTTGGTATGTCTTCATGCTTCTCAGTAAGAGCCCCTAAAGCAAGACTGTAGCCCCCTCTGACATTTTTACTTCTTTACTCGGAACTGTGGCCCCTACAAGTTCTGTGGTTCCAATTCTCATCCCCACTCCCCCATGCTCCCTGTCTCAGTGTTCCCTGACCTGGGGATCTGCAGTCAGCTCCCCAAAGGCCTGGTCAGCTCCAGGGGCGCCAGGTCCCTACAGCCTTCCTGGCAGGTGCAAGGTGTTTCCTGGCAAAGAAATCCTCCAGGCAACAGGCAAATGATTGGAGCCCTGGTCCAGCTCCTGCACAAGCCAGCCCCAGCTCCTCCTGTGCAGTTCTTCCAGGCCCTGGCCACCCCGTTCCAATGGGTGATAAGGTGGTGCTGGGGACTGGAGGCACCCAAGGCAAAGGTCCCTTGAGGTCACCTCCTGGGCAGGAAAGGGTTACACTGGCGGCTCCACCCCCAGACACTGTGCCACAAGCTGGGGGGCCCTGGCACTAGTCCCTCTGTGGGCACCCCACCTCTTGGTTACCCATGTCCTGTGCTCCCGGATGAACAGGCACATCTGAGATGTGTGGCCTTGGCGTTTCTGGACCTGCAACCCATATCCTCCCAGATCCCCATACATCTCCACCCTCTGGGCTCAGAAAAGCCCCCACTACTCCAGGCCAGGGTGCATCCCCCAGCACCCTTCACTCCTCAGACACTCAGGTTCCCACAGGTCATGGGACCTGAGAGAAGGCTGGTGTGGCTCTCTGCAGCCACCTGGGCCTCAGACCATCAAGCTTGCAGACCACCCTTCTCCAGACATGGCTCTTCCCTGAGTCAAGGTTGGCACGACCAGAGACATCCTCACATTCACATGAAGCCGCACCACCCCCGCCCCGCCCCGATCTGAGCTCAAACAGTGCTATCCTTTCATCCAAAATTTCTGTTTAAAAGGCTTTCAAGGTAGGAGTGGTGGTGCACAACTGTAATGCTAGCTAGCCCTGGGAGGCTGAGGCAAGAGGATCTCAAGTTACCCAGACTGGGCAACTCAGCGAGACCCTGTCTCAAAATAAACATTTTTAAAAGAGAGACGGGGGACAGAGTTCAGGGTGAAGGCCCTGGGTTCAAGACCCAGCAACCCCCATATAGACTAAACATACACATACAGAAACACACACACACACACACACACACACACACACACACAGGCTTCCAAGACTCACATACATCAACAGATACAGAATAGCTCCACCAGAACAAAAGGCCCTGCCCTGTGCTGACCACAGTCTCATGGGAAGGCTGGGGACCTGCTATCACCTAGATTTGGTCTTGATGTTCTGTTCTCACCCTCACCTATTAAAAGACTTGGTGTGGTAGACTGTCTAAAAGACCACTGGTATAGTTTGGGTCCAATGTACCCCTAGAGCCTCATGTGGTCACAGGTTGCTTTTTCAGAGGTGGCTGAATCTAGAGTGCGTGATGGTGGGATTAAGGGGGTGTGATTACTAAACCACTACACTGATTGGTTTGGCACTGCCCTCCTTGGGCTGTACTGTACGGGAGATTCTGGTCAGAGCTCAAAAGACCAGAAGGTAAAGACCAGGCTCAGGAGGTTTCTGCTGGGAGGAAGGACTGCACTGGCCACTGGACTCAGATGACATATGTTATGCCTTGGCAGAAAGTTTGTCTGCATTATGCTCGTGTCTAGAGACTTTACCTGAGACTGAGATTAAGGGGAGTAGGCTAATTAATCTGGCAGAAAAAATTTCAAGGCAGTCTAATGTTGAGGCGATAGCATAGACACTGTTGGGGGCTTTTAGCCAGATTTATGTCGAGAATCAAGAGCAAAGAGCCCAGCAGAATAATTTAAAACATTTTGAGTCTGGCCAGAATGGAAGCTCCAGTAAAGCTGTGGACTGCAAAGACAGAGCAGAGGAGATCTTGATTGCTGAAAAGAGACAGGAGACTAGAAGATGGCCTGAGGGCATCACAAGCAGCAGGACTCCACCCTTTATAGCCTCAAAATTGCAAAATGCAGACTTTGGTTTGAGGAGACAGGCCCAGGGCATCATGTACCAGAATGGCGGCAACCTAGGGAAGGTGTCCCTTGGGATGTGGCTCATAGGCACGGACCCTTACAGCCAAAAGAGGAGGAAGCCTGGCTACTGCTTCAGCTGGCATTATCCATATGATGCTGGTTAGACACATGCAGAATGAAACAGTTGTGGGGTCAGGAAGGCTTCCATCCAGATTTCAAAAAAGGCCTGGGAGGCCAGGCAGTGTGCTCCTCAGAGGGCAATGTGAGAAGCTATGAGTGTGAATTCGAGGGTGCAGTGGAGACCCCAGAAGGCTCGAGAAACCAGGAATGTGAATCATCTGAGGAAACAGCAGGGAGGGAACAGAGCCGGCCCAAGAGTGAAGCCATGGGAGGTACAACCACCAGAAGTGCTGTAGGGGCAGAGCCACCCAAACCCTTTGGAGTTCACAACTTGCCACAGATTTCTGGGCACGCTCCAAGTGGAACTGTGGGATTTAATGTTTGCCCTGCTGGATTCTGGACTTGCTTTGGTCCCATTCCTTGCTATCCCCTTGTTTGTAACCTCTGGAATGGAAATGTCTATCTTGTGCCATTGAATGTTGGAAGTGTTTAACGTTCTTTTCATTTATACAGGGGCTTGCAGCTAAGAATTCGCCTTAAATCTCAGAAGAGACTTTGGAATCAGACTTTTCAGCAATGCTGAAATTGTTCGGACTTTGGCAACTCTTAGAGATGGACTAAAAGCCTTCTGAGTAAAGGAATGCACATGAGTCTTTGGGGGTCCAAGGTTGGAATGCTAAATTTGGGTCCAGATGTCCCCCTAAAGCCTCATATGGTCATAAGTGGCTTTTCAGAGATGGCTGAATCTAGAGTGTGTGATGCTGGGATTAAGGGCATGTGATTACTAAAGTACTACGCTGATAGGTTTGGCACCGCCCTAATCCCAGTAGTCTGGATAAGATAAAAGGGGCAGAAAGATGCTGTTAAGGTCCCTTGTTGTTTTTGCTTGCTTTGCTACTTTGTGGGCACCATGAACTGTTTCTCCTCTGCCAAGTCTCTCTGCCAAGCCACCCTGCCTTGGAGCCAGCCAATTATAGACTGAAACTTCTACAAACTGTGAGCTAAATAAATTTTTATTCCTTTAACTTTGGGTTTCGGTTATTTTATCTCAGCAATGAGAGAAAAGTAACTAAGACAACCACAAATCTGATCATTTATGTATGCAGGCACCTCTGCGGTGACACTATTTCCACCTGTGACTCTGAACTGGTTTCAGTGGTTTGCTGTGCCCAACAGTGTGGCAGGAACAGGTTATGTGAGCCATAAGCCCTCACCTCATGGGCCAAGAGGGGGAAGGTTTACCGAAGGCCACACACAGACACTGTGGTGCTGCCAGGCCCAGAGGCCAGAGGCTATCATCTGGTATCTTGTGGCTTGGCAGCCCCACACCAGCTATGCAGACACTTGAAGGAGTCTGGGAAACCACAGTGGGACAGGCCAGGTACCCAGAGCCCAGAGCAATGACTAATTACTGTTATTGTGCATGTGCAGTGCTGGGGATGGAACCCAGGGCTTCATGCATGTGAGGCAAGCACTCTACCACTTAGCTATATCCCCAGCCCTTTCTATTTTGAGACAGGGTCTCACTATGTTGCCAAGTTGGCCCTGAACTTGTGATTCTCCTACCTTAGCCTCCTGAATAACTGGGATTACAGGTATGTATCACCATGTCCAGCTAATTGGTATTTTTTAAGGCAGGAAGTCCGGAGGTCATTTGTTACATAGCAGTAACCAAATATATAACTGATATATCTGGTAGGTCACTGAACCTAGTGGGTTGGTAGATGGGATCATATGAATAGTTGCAAAGTAACTGACATAAATGTATTCCTAAGTACCATATTACACAAATGCAGATGATCACATATAAAAGGCTTGTAACCCAATGAAGAAAACAAAAATATTAAGCATAAGGAACAGGAAATGAGAATTAAGCATTTAAAAACAACTGTAGCCAGCTGTGGTGATGCATGCCAAGATCCTGTCTATAAGTAAGTAAGTAAATAAATAAATAAGGCGGGAAAGTATGAAGGCTCTGGGTTTAATTCCCAATGCCTAGGAAAAAAACTGCAACATAAAGTATGCCAGGAAAATACTATATGAGTCAACTTGTGTGAGGTCCCTACCAGTACTCAAATCCAGAGAGACAGAA